CCATACTTAAGTTCAAGCTATCCTGTAACTGGGCCTGTGTTAATGGGCCTAAGCCTGTTTAATGTTTTAAGTTACTGGGTGTCCCATCACTAATCAGGGGCATTCCAGTAATTACTTGTATCTTGTACTACATTCAAATATAAATAATAACATGGTCGACTGGCTAGGTCAGTTCGACATTCCAGCATCTCTTCTTCTTCTTCTCCTTTCTGCTACTTCGGCTACAGTAGTTTAGCTTTCACATACCTCAAGTTGCAGAAAGTGGTGAGTTTTGGTGATTTCCTGAAACCCTCTACTCAGAGATTCAAAGAGGGGAAGTTTTTTGATATTTGGTTGGTTGCAGCAGTTGTATGGCAAGTTGTGGCAAGTAAATGGTGTATTGTAGAGTGGAAGAAGCTTAGTTGTGTGAGCAGTGAGTCAGCTGGTGGTTTGAATTACTAAATGTTTGCTTTTTGATATTTTCTATGCTGAAAATTGGGTCCAGTGGTTACTTGGTGAAAGAACATTTTTATGAATAGTTGACTACTGAGAAGGCAAGCAGAGTATTTTCAAACCTATGGCTACATCAACTAGTGGTTCCAAATCTGTTGTTATGTTGTAATCAGACTTCATAAATTTCCAATTGACAACTGTCAAGCTCAATGGTACAAATTATGTACCATGGGCTAAATCAGTTCAAGTTTCATTGATTGAAAGAGGCAAACTGATACATTAAGGAAGACAAGCCAAAGAGTGGGTCTCATGGGTAAAATGAATGGTACAGAAGAATGCACAGATCATGATATCTCTTTGGAATAGTATGGAAAATCAAATTAGTGTTAGCCTTATGTTTCTGAACACAGCTAAGGAGATTTGGGGGATGCCAAACAGTTGTACTCTAGACAAGACCACGGTTTAAAATGTCGGTGTGAATGGAAATGTCAGTCGTCCAAATATAAGAAACATGTCAGAAATGTCAAAAATATTGTAAAAATTATAGACATGGTGGAAACATTGTAAAATATGCAAAATATATGATAAAAGAAGCATAGGCACACCTTTTTTAAATTATTATCTTGTTACAAATCATTAGACAAAGCTAAGAAACTAAGGTTATAGACAAAAGAATACATTCTGAAGTTGTCATGTAAACCTTAAGATTCAGAGCTTCATGATAGAATGAGTTAAAGCAAATTTTAAACGCATAGAAAATGTAAATGGTTGTAATATATCAACCAAATGATCTATTACACAAACAAAAACTAATATTTAACTTCATGTTTGAAATGAATACTGAGCTAGCTCAAAGTGGTAATCATGTAAGTTTGGCAGCAATAACACTGTTACTCCACATATCTACAATATTGTACTCCACATAGTGTTGCTAGTGTTCATTGAGGAATATGTTGATTCCAATAAAACTTCATGCCACTACCCATGGAAGTGACATTGGAAATGTGACACGGAAACTATCTCTTTAAAGCCACATAGTGCTGGTAGTGTTCATTGGGGAATATGTTGATTCCAGTGTTGGTAAGGACAAGGAGCTACTCCTTGTTCACTCGCTTCGCTTGCTCACCGAAGCTCCAAAAACCCCATATTTGCTATTGTTGCTCATCCATTCATCCTAATAAAAGATATTTTTAAAGGACACAAGTTATTAAGACTTTTTATAGGGATTAAGAATTTAAGACCCTGAAATGAACTTGTTTGGGCTTTGCCTCGAGGGGCTTGGTTAGGGGTCCAAGGGTAGAGCCCCCAACCCAACTGCCAACCATAAAAAAACAGAAAAAATGCACAAATTTTCAAAAGGCACAAACCTGGGCTAAAACGCAAGGTGCACCAAGCATGTGCCTTTTGAAAGTATTGCACTTGGGACCTCGGCAAGGCACATACCCTAAAATGTGCCTAGGCACACCTAACGTGCACCTTTTAAATCACTAATCGTGAGGGTCAAACATTTAACTTCTGATATGATTTATATGGCCCACCATCTAATTGGGCTAACCACACTACCATGGAAAAGGATCTTGGTAATAGTGCATCTAGTGTTGAGCTGTCTACTTCAAGTGTTGGAAAGGACAAGGAGCTAGTCTCTATCACACGTGAGTATGAGAGGCTTTGTCAGTTGTCTTCTTCAAACACTATAGCCACTTTTGCTAAATCAGGTACAGCTTGTCTTGTCCCATGGAAGGATCTTGGTAATACTGCATCTAGTGTTGAGTCATCTACTTCAGGTGTGGGTAAGGACAAGGAGCTAGTCTCTATCACACGTGAGTATGAGAGGCTTTGTCACTTGTCTTCTTCCAACACTATAGCCATCTTTGCTAAATCAGGTACAGCTTGGCTTGTCTCCAGTTCTAAACCTAGTAATCTACACCTTGGATTTCAAAGCTTCAGATCATATGATTGAATCTTCAGATCCACATATGTCTATATCTTCTCCTTCCGTTTCTTTGAGTGTTACCCTAGATAATAGTACTACTTCGTCCATCACTAATACTGGTAATGTGTCTCTTAATTCTGACATTACATTACATTTTATCTTTTATGTACCCAAATTCCCTTGTGTCTATCAATAAACTTACCTAGTCTCTTAACTGTTCAGTATCCTTTGAGTTCAAAATTTATGTGCTCCTCCTCATGTATATACTCCTCCATTAACCAAGAGTCACAGAGTGACATAGAATGATCAGTTTGTTATTTTGGGGAATGATGGCCCGTTTCACATTTTCAGCATGATGAAGCTGTGCAACTTGTTCATCCGTTTATCTAAGATAACCCCTTTTCGTGATCCTGAAAAGCATCTGGTTGAGTAACTTGTTTTGAGGGCGGATGAAAATGTGAAGCATTAGAGATGATGAGTATTCCTGCTGAGAGAGAAAGTATCATGATGATATGGCAGTTATTGTGATCATCCTCAGAAATAAGCAGCATAAATCTACTGCTTCAACATCTTTGTAGGCATGCAACAACTATTTTGCTATTCTTACATCATCCTTGTTCAAAACATACTGCACATTATTCTATTATTGCATTAGATAATCCAGGTTCCGACTGTAATATCTGGTATAAGTTGATTGTATAGGATCCACATGTTAGTGCGTCTGAAAAGTTTGGAATAAGGATCTGATCCATATTGGTTCATAATGTAGTGGTAACTTAAACTGTCATAATCATTAAAAAATAACCTAAACAAGCTTCTCACATGAGCAGCCAAAGCTCCACCCACAATCAGTATCATAAAGTCCATGGTAATCAAATGAGAAATCCCGCCACTAAATTCCTAGAAATTTCTTGCCACTCTACCTGCACCTTTTTGGCCACTAAAGAGGAACCAAGCCTCAAACTTGTAGTAGAGAGGGTTTCTTCTCTAGGAAAATCCCCTTACCTATGGACTCTAGTAGACAAACAAAATATTCCGTGCATCACCTCTAACCCTTCCACCCCAGAAGACCCAGGTCACCAAAAGCAACAATCAGGCTTCTATGAGAGGTATACATTAACATTGATAGCCACATCCTAATAATAGCATCCATGGAAAACCCTGAGTCCTGTCTTATGGTTGCTAAGCCTATGAAATTGTTGACATTTTCATCTTATCATTGGATATTCTTGGGTTTCTTTCAGCTCATACATGCCAATATACCACTTCATTTGTAAGGAGTTCCCTCTAATCATAGGTTGACAGGTTTTTTTATTTCTTGTGGAGAGAAATGTTAGCACCAAAGAGATCAAATATCTACATGTGGACCCAATGAAAGGGAGAAAGTAATCCACATGGCTCGTTAAGGAAAAAGAGAGGATGAGGTGGTGGCATTATCACCATTCACCTTACAGCACACAAGTGAGAGGAAAACAGTTTTTTCTTTATTAGAACACTAATTTTTAGGTCATTTCCCAGAAAAATTATTCAAGATTTCATACAATAGGATCATCAAAAGAACCCAAAGGGTTCCCAATCTATAGCTAAATTCATCCCAGAATAGTGGAGGAAATCATCTTTGATAAATCATCACATCAATCTCACAATCCCTAAGATCCCACAACCCATGGGAGAAAAGAAAACCAAATCAGGAATGAGTTTGCTTTCATAATAGAAGATGGAGCAGTCAAGGATATAGAATATACAGTGGCCCCTCTCCCAACCAAATATCCTCCACGCATTTAACTTTCTTGGCAAAGATAGAATTGTATCATTGTATTTGCTAAATCTACCAAACAGGCATTAGAAAAACTGAATCTTTTTAGGTGCAAAATCATACAGGAAGCTTCTAAAGAAGACTGTAAAGCAAAAACAAGAGAAAGACTACTTCATATAAAAATTACCAATCAAGTTGAGCATTACCGGTCCACTTTTGCCCCTTGCTTTGTTGATGATAAGTTCATAAAAACTGTGTTGCTGAACATCCAAGACAACAAGAAAACAGGTGGATTCAAATTAGTTAAGCACTTGTTCAAAGCATAAATGCCCACAAAAATTGATTTTAAAATGGACTCACATGAGGGATGATCAAATCTTCCTTAACATAAAGCAAATTCTCCACCGAGGTTGTTCGGACCTCTCGAAACTCTGGTGCAAGTTGCTGCTGAACAGCCCGGAGAAACTCTCCAATAGTATCACCTTTGCGTACCTGAAGATCAGAAATAGTTACCATAAAGAAAACCAGATGATAAAAGGCAAATCAGCAAATCAATCACAGATAAGAAAAGAAAGTTCTCATTAACCTGGATTACTCGCCTATGGCCTGCTCCATCCCAGTAGCTGTAAGTAATTTCAAGGGGTTCATCTAAAATAAAATAAAAATTTTAGAGAAAAATGCATTTTTCATTTTTAATTAGATTTAAACAGGATTAGAGTGCACAATTACTTCGAATCTGTTCCTGCTCACGAAGCCATTGCTTCCGCAACCTTTCTCGCTCTGCTTGTTCCTCTGCTTCTCTCTCACTGATTATCCTCAGCACACCTAGGTTTTCAGATTAATCCCAGGTCCAAGAGATAGAAAAACCAAATTTTTGGTCCATACCAACTGCACACAAAAAAGTTCAATACCTGTCTGGCAAAAAGCTTGTCTCCACAGTTGGATCTTTCCCGAGTTGCCCACACCTAAACTTCTTAGACTCTTGAGTTTCTGCAAAAAAAAAAAAGAATAAATGAAACAAGGAAGGGAAACAAGAGCAGAAGTAACAACTCTGACTCTATGCTCTTAAACTTGTTGAAAGAACATGTATTGAATTGTTGATATGTTGTGACATTTTAGAAACCATTGTGACTTTTTTTCTTTTGATAAATAGAAACCATTATGACCTTTAGATGCAAACCAACTAAACATATAAAAGACGCTACCAAAATGTTAAAACTAGATGAAGCAATCAGAGCATCCATTACATGAAACAGGACAAAAGTGCAAGTAGTTTCCGGCCCAACACTAATCTTCAAATAAAATCAACTAAAAATGAGAAATGCATAAGAAATATTATATAGAAATAAAACCATAGAAAATAAAACATATGTACATTTTTACTTCATCAAATCAATATCAATCCTTTTGCTGATAATCAGTGGATATCTCATACAATGAACAGTAGCAAATCAAATACAAAAGAAATAAAAGTCCCTTCTCAAATCAAACCTCTGTCTTCCCAGAAAACATCCCCAAAATAGAGAAAAACATCACATCCCTTCAGTGGAAATCATACAATGAGCAGCAGCAAATCAAATACAAAAGAAATAAAGCCCCTTCTCAAATCAAACCTCTGTCTTCCCAGAAAACATCCCCGAAATAGAGAAAAACATCACATCCCTTCACCCACCCCTTAAGGCATATGTCTTCCCTACACAGACTTCCCACATTACTCCTGATTTGGCCAGATTATCAGCCAGCTCATTTGGCTGCTATTTTAGTCCAGGAGAATGAGATATTCACTGATGAAGCCAGAACTTTGCTTTTCTAATTAGGTATCACAATTGACAAGGGACTTCTTCCTCTCAATTTATCTAACGCATAACAATCTAACAACCACCTTCTATTCACAGTTCTTGACATCCTAGAAGGTGCAGAAGTCTAAACCTTGAAGCAGAACAAACATTCTGCTATTATAGCTGTAAAGAACACTGATGTGGTCCCCACAGTGTTCGTATGGCAGCAATATTTCTGTTAGATATGACAATGTTAGTTGGTAGTTATTTCAGCTTTATTATTAGTTATTTCTTATTCTATTTGCCATGTAAGCAATAAGGGCAATTCAGCCCTTTTACAGTTGGCCAATAGTTATAAATACTAAGAGAGGGTCGGCAGAAATTATGACCTACTCTCTCTCTTTTCTGAAACTCTCTTCGTGTACTTCTTTTCTTCCTCTCTTCACTTCCTCTCTTCAATTTTTCATCCTTTTTTCTTTTTAATTCAAGACTTATTGTAGTCTAGATCGACTACTTGGTATCAGAGCTGACCTAGGAGCTCTGCTAGTCTGATTAGGCCGACTACATGAGAACCACCTAGGTTTGGAAGTTTTTCAACAAGGAAAGAGGATCGGCTGATTCTTGGAGGTTACTGGTAGTGTGCAGCTGCTACTAAAGAGATTGTAAAGTTTAGGAGAGTTCCAGTAGTCAGGAAGAATCAGAAGAAGCTTCGGATCCTCAAGATTAGGGTTTTGCATCAACCAGCAGGTGGCGGCTAGAGATTTTTTCATAAAGTAAGCTTTTTCTTGTGATTCTGTTCAGAAAAGATAATCTTGGTTTAGTCTGAGAGGTGCGGCTTCAGAATTTTTGTGTTTTCTTTAGGGTTTTGAGAGAAAACCCTAAAATTCAGAACTGTTGTTTGTTTCAGATCAGAATTTGAACTAGTTTCATTCAGAATTCTGTTTTTTGTGTTCTTTGGAAGAACTAGGCCGGTTGTTATAAGCTGTTTGGGTGCTGTTTCTCCTATTACAGTAATTAAAAAAGTTTTTTTTTTATTAATTCTTGATCAAGAATGGAGTTCAAGAGTCAAGGGGAAGGTGTTTTTGGGACTAGCAATTTTGGTAACATGTTTGAGAATACCTTTCAGATTACAACAATTAAGTTTGATGGATCAAACTACCTAGAATGGGCTCAATCGGCCATGATGACCATTGGGGGTAGGGGAAAACTGAGCTACTTGTTGGAAGATGTGAAAGAACCAACTAAGGTGAACTATTTGGTTATGACGTGGCTGTGCAACTCTATGCAGCCACATATCATCCGGAACTATTTGTGGGCAAAAACAGCTAAGGAAATCTAGAATGTCATGAAAGAGACCTACTCCCCAACCCCTTAATGTTGCTAAGGCTTATGAACTGAAATGTAAGGTTAACAACCTTAAGCAATGAGAGAAACCAGTCTCCGTTTACTTCTCTACACTGAAATCTTTGTGGCATAAAATTGACCACCTAGAAACACTTGAGTGGGAAAGTCAGAAGGATGCACAGACTCATAGAAAACAAGTTGAGACTAATAGGGTTTTTGAGTTCCTAGCTGGTCTAAATCCTGAGTATGATATTATGAGACAGCAACTACTGACAAGAGACAATGTGACCCTATCAGAAGCCTACTCCTTAGTGCATAGTGAAGAGACTAGGAGAAAGGTTATGATGCAGCATCATCCCTTCCCACCAGCCTTGGCAGCAGTCAAACCTAAGTCCGGGGATGATACGGAGAGGGATATAAAAAAGGAAGACAAGCGAGATCTAGTATGTGAACATTGCAAGAAACCCAAGCATACTAAAGACACCTGTTTTAAGTTGCACCCTCCTTTAGTCCCAGCAAAACTCAGGAACAAAAGGGGTAATGCTAATATGGCTGTTAATACTGATTGTGCCTCTTCATCAGGCACAAAAGACACACCCCTAGACACCCTAGCTGCTGTCCTGGCTGCCCTGACTCAGTTGGAAAAGGAAGTTGGCAATTCAGCTCAATCATCTTAGCCACCATCAGCTCCCACATCAGCTTTTGCTCATTTAGGTACTCGGGCCTCAGCTTATCATGCTTCAGCTCCAGGTAACACTGAACATTGTTGGGTAATAGACTCAGGTGCATCTAACCATATGACTGGCTTGCCATCACTATTCACTACCTATCACTTATCTTCAGGCAGAGATAAGGTGTCCATTGTTGATGGTTCCCTTGTTCCCATTTCTAGCAAGGGAGACATCAAGTTGTCTAATGCCATATCCTTATCTTCAGTTTTGCATGTTCCTAAGCTTAATACTAATTTGCCTTTAGTCAATAGCATTACAAAACATCATAATTGTTCAGTAACCTTTTTCCCTGACCAATGTGTTTTTCAGGACTTGGAGACAAGGAAGGTGATTGGGACTGGCCGTGACACGAATGGGATCTATCTGCTTGGAGAGAGTTCACATTGGGAAGATAGTGAAAATAGGAAGTCTTTTGTTTCTCAGTCTATTAGTTAGGTTATGCTTTGGCATAATCAGTTGGGTCATTTATCTTTTTAGTCTTTGAAGAGTTTGTTTCCTGATTTATTTGAGTCTGTTCAGATGTCCAATTTGAGATGTGAGAGTTGTGAGCTTGCAAAGCATTCTAGAACATCTTATTCATTGAGTAATAAAAGAAGTAATAATCATTTTGATATTGTGCATACCAATGTTTGGGGTCCTTATCACATCACTGCTATGGGGGTACAGATATTTCTTGTTGTTTGTTGATGACTATACCCGGTTTTCTTGGGTTTACCTTATGTGTTCTCGAGATGAAGTTCCTACTTTGACCCGGATCTTTCATCAGATGATTTAAACCCAATTTGGGGTCAAAATCAAAATCTTCAGATCCGATAATGCGAAAGAATACTTTGCCAACCAATTAGCCTCCTATTTGCTTGACCATGGGATTATCCACCAAAGTACTTGTCCTCATACACCACAGCAAAATGGGGTTGCTGAGAGGAAGAATAGGCACATATTGGAGGTGGCCGAAAGCATCATGTTTAACTACAATGTGCCTATTCGTTTCTGGGGAGATTCTATTCTTACAGTAGTGTATCTCATTAATCGAGTTCCTTCACGGGTTCTTGACATGAAGCCTCCATTTACCCTCCTATACCCTGATAAAGACTTGTTTACTGTTCCCCTTAAAACCTTTGGTTGTACTTGCTTTGTTCAGATTCTTGGACCTCATCGTTCCAAATTTGATCCTAAGGCCTCCAAATGTATTTTTCTCGGTTATGCACAAACTCAAAAGGGATATTGCTGCTATAAACCCACTTCTGGGAAAAGATTTGTCTCTATGGATGTTACTTTCTTCGAGGATGTACCCTATTATCCTAGGGTTTCTCCTCAGGGGGAGAGTAGTGAGTGTGGGGTTAACTCATTAGAAGTTCCTTTACCTGTTCCATTGAGTGATGAAGGATGTAATGGGGAGGGGTGTCAGAGGTGCTGGGATTTGAGAGTCTATCACGGGCGATGGAGGCAGGTTGATTTCGGTCATCAGCAATCCAGGCCAGCCCCAGTTCCTTCTGCGGATCCAGATCCAGGTACTACAGTTCCTTTATCGGATTCGGGTTCCACTGAGATACCTTCCACTGTTGAGCCCTTACCTCCTTTGGATGACCTTGACCTCCCCATTGCAATCTGTAAAGGAAAACGGCATTGCACCACATCCACAGCCCACTGCATTTCCCAATTCTTGTCCTATGATCACTTGTCCCCATCTTACAGGTCCTTCCTCACATCTATTGCTGATATTCCTATCCCCATAACAGTGCAAGAGGTTGAAATGGAAAGATGCAATGAAGGTTGAAATGGATGCTTTTCTGAGGAATAATACTTGGGAGCTAGTTGACCAGCCTAAAGGGAAGAAACCGGTTGGATGTAGATGGGTATTTACTGTGAAACATAATGTTGATGGTTCCATTGAAAGGTATAAGGCTCGGTTAGTTGCAAAGGCATTTACTCGGACTTATGGTATGGACTACTTAGAGACTTTTGCTCCAGTAGTAAAGAAGACCACTATTAGAGTTTTATTGTCCCTTGCAGCCAGTTACTCTTGGCCCTTGTTCCAAATGGATGTCAAAAATGCCTTCCTCAGTGGAGACTAGCAGGAAGAAGTCTACATGCAGTTGCCTCCTGGATTTTATGATGCAGACACAGGAAAGAGGGT